AGCAACAGCAACAGCAACAGCAACAGCGGCGGCGCGCCTCTTCGCACGCCCACCCATAGATCAACCGTATCGCGCAACAGCAACTACAAGATACCCGCGTCAAACTCATTGTCGCACATCCGCCTGCTCACGGCCCAGATGCAGAGGCTCGAGGCCAGAGTCCACTCGGTACGGTCCAAGCTACCCGCTCCCGGCGGTAGCACCACTCCGCCTCGCCCGTCTTCTCGACCTGCGATGCCTAGTTTGGCTCCCACCGCGCCGACATCTACGGCGGTTCGCTCACGCAAGCGCGCCACCACTCAGTCAACGGCATCCTCATCTTTCACCGGGGACGACCTGAACCTGACGCCCACTAGTAGTTATACTTCGTCGTCCAGGACTAGCCACACTCCCAGGCTTAGCGCGTCTGGCGTGAGCAGGATCTCCTTTGGCACCCAGTCCAACGGCCGGACAACAGACTCGGAGATCAGCCGGCCAGTATCGCGGTCCAGCGGAGCATCATCATACGCCAGGCCGCCGTCTCGCAACGAAATACCATTACCAACGCGGCCGATTTCGCGGAGCTCCTTTTCGGCGGGGACTCGAACCCCCATTGGCCGGCCGGTATCCTCTTTTGGCCGCGGGCACTCTGGCAGTGTCAGTGGCGTAAACCTGCTCGGAGAGGAACCTGAGCATGAGCCCCCGTACCGCACGCCTAGTAGGCGAGGTACCTTTTCCACCCGATATGATTTGGGCACGAGCATCAGCGGCATCGGTGGCATCAGCGGCATACCGACACCAGGTAGTGCCATTCCCGCGCCGGGCAGCGGGATCCCAGGGCCGAGCTTGAGACGGCAGAGCAATGCTAGGAGAATCAGCGTTAGCAACGGCAGTACTAGCACCGGCGGCGTCCCTCTTCGATCGGGCCGCGTCAGCACAACTGGATTCAGGAAACTGGGCGACTTGGGAGAGACTTATTGATGAGATGAGCTCTCGTGTCGAGATTTGCACAGCAACCTGTTTCCGAGATGTTTACTCTCTTTAGTATAATTATTTCTTTCCTTTTTAGTTTTTGGCTTTTTTTTTTCTCTTTCCCGAAACTCCAGTTCTCGCTTTGCGTTCAATTGTTTTTGTCTGTATTTTGGGAACGGGTGCATTTTGGTCGCTGTGACATTTTCTTTTTGGCAATCACAGAGGCGAACGAGGTGTTGATGATGATTTGATTACGGGCATGTTTTTTTTTTCCTCTTCATGCTACAACGCACGGTTGGTTTTATTGCCTTTGCCTCCCACACTTGATTCGATCTTCTTTTTTTCTTTTGTTGCCTTTTTTTTTACTTATTATACCTCGACCCTTTACCCCGGATTCTTGATGCAGGGGGAGGTTCTTGTTCTTGGTACTACACTACACACGCACACATGGAAGTTATGAAGAGATGGTACGGGCTGAGCTCGACAAAGACTAAACATAAATTTCTATAGATTGCCTTTTCATTTGTCTCTTTTTTTTCTTTTCCTTTTTGCGAGGGGAGATGGTTATTGGAAGGGGGGGTTGAATATGAGGGATGATGGGAGGAGGGAAAGTGAGGAGGGATAGCTAGAATTAGTAACTAGATATCAGAGATACGTAGCCCAGAAAAAAAAATTGATACATTGTTTCACCTCTTTGTTTTGTCTGGTTGAATGCGCAGAGAGGAAATGCTGAAAGTGAGAGCAGAGAGATGGATGGTTTATGTCACTGGTTCGGAATGAGATGGGATCGGATTGCCGAAAGAGGCTCGGCCCGGGATGGGGCATGGACGAGCCCGAGAGTTCGGATTCCGTCTTGAGCTGATTTACGAGGACGGAATAGGTAGGTACCTTGGGTTGGCTGTAAAGGGACAGCAGCAGTGCTTATGTATATACGAGTGTGTAGCTAGAGGCGGTAGAAGACGTTGGAAGGGATGCTGTACTGTAGAGGGAGTATGAGATGTTGATTTGGTTGTCATGTATCATGTTGAGCACAGCACAGCACAGCACAGTACAGTACTCGTACGGTAGTAATGGCCCGTACATGAAGTTGAACGCACGCGACTGCAACAGTATGGCCCGTACATCAAGTTCCTGGGCTAGGTGCATGTCTGTACGTAACCGTAGTACGGTACTAAATCCGCCGCTCATAGCCGAAAGAACCTTTGGAGAAGGAATAAGACGGAGTATAGTAGACACGAAATGCTCACACCCCCCCGGATCTCGTTTAGGCAACGCCTCGAGGTTACTTTTCTCCGACCAACGCAGAAACAATGAAGTTGGCATACGGACTAGGAAAGACAAGGAGGGTTTTATTAGGTATAGTATGGATTATGCACGAGTGATACGGAGTCGAGATGCTAGAACGGATGGAAAAACAACGATGGAGAGAAGAATGCTGGAAAGGAAAGGAAATGGAAGGGAGAAAAAAAAAAAGCGGGAGCAACGGAGGCCGCGAGTCCGGAGGGAGGAGATGGGGCATTCCGGTGAATTGTGTGGGATGTGATTGGCTGGGATGGGGGCATTGGGGAGGGGGTGGAGTTGTGAATTGTTGGGGGTGTGTGATGTTTTTTTCTCTTGGGATTTTTTTTTGTTTGTTTTCGGGTGTTTTTATTTTTGTTTCTTGTTTGTTCGGCGGTTCATGGTTTTGTGTGTACGGGGATTTTATATGATGAGGTGGGAGGCCTGATTGTGCGTTGGGTTGATATAAAGGCTCTGCTTGTTGTTAACAGAACATGGATTATTATCTGGATATTTATCACCTTCATGGAGAATTTGTTTAAATACGGAATGAATAACAAAAAAGGTACACAGTCGTCGGCGGTTGAGGTGAGACGGTTTGGCGCAGCCGTTCCCCCGAGAGGTACGGAGCATTTCTAGTACAAGAGAGAAAAAAAAAATTGGAAGAGATGGAGATCCATCCATCTGGGCTAAGGCAGGTAAAGTGGTTGGGTGGACACTCAACAATTGAAGGGGGCCCAGAAAAAAAAAGAATGATGGGGAGAAGCTTGGGGTGTGGGAGATGGTGGTACATAGCTCTACTATGGCGGATGGGTGGTTCGTGTAAGTATAGTTTTGTTGCTTGTTTTTTTTTGTTGGCTTCTTGAGATCTTGGAAGATGGAGATGGGTGCTTGTACTGTGCTGTGCTGGATGGTATCTTGTTTGTTGCGATGGATCAAGTATGGGAGTAGTTACACTAGATGGATTGATGGGGATGCGGGATGAAGATGGGATGGGAGTGTGCTGCGTACATAGGTACGCGTAAATATCGAATCGGAACTGACTCTATCCGGCATGATGCTTTGTGATTTCTGCTACTACTACTGTACGGGATACGATAGTGTATCTTGATGATGCATTGCCGCAAGCATCCGTGATAATGCTTTACCCACGCCCTTATTCGCCGATGGCCGTTTTGGGGGCACGAGTGCGTCCTTGGTTTAGCAGCGGGAGGCCAAGACCGAATCTCGGGTTTCGGGCGGTGGGGCTGCAGATTCGAAATGGATGCTTAATCTGGCCTTCTCTCTTCTCTCTTATTCTCTGTCTCTCTCTGGTGATGCTTGTTCGGCTACTGTATGTCTTGGGTTTTGGGGGGGGCTGGGCTTATCGTCGTCATGGAGCGAGTTCCTTGCCCTTGCTTGCTTGTTCCGTGCCGTTGATAATCTTGCGGTCCGCGGGGGCCGAGGGAGAGATGAGAGATGAGAGAGCTTAACTTTCCATGTTTTTGCTGCGGTGTAAGCAAGCAAAGGTGAAATGAGCTCGGTGGGCGCGGGGTCCGTTGCTTGCGATGAGCGACGCTTTTTGGTGGTAGAGAGGGATGCTAGTAAGGATGTGATGCTTGGGGGAGGTATGGTAAGTTTTGTTTCTTAGTCGGTTGCTGCATTCAAATGAATCCGACACAAACCTCGCTAGGTTACATGGAGATGGGCGGGATGTAAGCTGTAAAGTGACGGTCGAATACGGCTGCATTTGATAACACGGCATGTACATTATGTACGATGATGATGATGATGACCGACTGGTTTGCAGTAGAACAGACGGAGTAATAATCACAGCCAGCAAGCCTTGACCATGACAAAATTCCATCCCGTTCCTTCGCACTCCTCCAGATCCCAGATCCGACCCTAGATGCCTCCATCCTTGCCACCCTCGGCGCGTTACGCAGCGCCGTCATCCTCCCAATGCACTGTAAGCCAGGCAAGCCAGGGTTGCAAACGCCGGTCATCATGGGAACCGAGAGCTGTGCTGTAAGTCTGCGCTTCCGTCCGTCAGCCTGCTGCCCCCGTCACGTCTGTCCGGTTCGGGCAATGCTCACGGGCTTTCTCTTTAATAGCTCGTGTCCACGTCCGGCGCTGGGGACTCCGTCGTCCGTTCCGTAGACTGACTAGCTGCTGCAGCTGAGAAATGAACGAAAGAAGATTCGATTCGGTGGGTTCAATGAGATCGGTCGGTGCCTTGTCCGGACTTGTGTACTGTGCAAATAACCGTACCTAGATCTCTACCTCTACTTGATCCATTCTGTTGATACCTGCACCGTACATGCGTGGTGTTGCTTGCTTGCTTGCTTGCTGATAACGCACATTGCGTATACGGAGCGAAAACGAGCACTGTGCTGGTTAGACTTGATCGATCGATTGCCGGCAGATGGAACGGGGTCTTGGATCGCCAGTGGTTGCATAGGCTGGAGGTGTTTGATATCCATCACCCCCAACCCTTTTCTGTACTGTGCGAGTTTGAGTTGATGGTGCATCCATTCCGTGCTCTCTCTCTCTCTTCCCCACCCTCAGCAACGACAAGACCCGAGTCTTTTTCTTTGGGTTGATCCTTTTTGTGTAATCACAGTAGTTGATGTATTCTTTGTCCCATCTTCATCCCCTTTCCCCTTTCTCATCTGTGAATCTCCTCTCCATATACAGTCGTACAACAACAAATCAGGCCCCAAACAAGAACAAGACGAAACCGAACGGTGCCCAAGCCCAAAATCTTTTGGTACCCACCCTCACTAAACTCAATGGCAAAAGACATCCATGGATCGATTCACCCACTGACCCCAACAGATCTAGGGCCGCTTCTCTTCTTCCTCCCCCCCTGTTGCAAGCCCAAGCCACCTGGAGCCAAGTCGCCAGCCGCCCAGAAGCTGCTCCGTAATTGCAACCAAAGTCGCCCCGAAAAGCTTCTCGCACACCCCCGGCCGCAGGGGGTCCGGATCCCCCCTCCAAAGCCCTCCCTTGCCCCTCGTCGATCGTCTCTAGACACTAGCACTGTTCCATTGCTTTACGAGAGTGCCTCCGGCTTCTTCTTTTTTATCTCGGGCCTCCCGCACGAACCCAATGCCGCTGGGTCTCTTGTTACTCCTTCCTTGATCCTCCTTTCTCGAGAGCGGGTTGCAAAATCGTTGTCTTGCGGCTCATCTTTTGCTCTTCCTCTTCTCTCTGCCCTGATTCAGCCTCATTCCCTGGCGGGCCAACAAGCTGGGAAACGCATTCACATTCACATTCACATTCACATTCTACATTCCAACCCTCTGTCCACCTTGATCACATCAGCATCTGCATCGGCCGTCCATGTACCCGCGGTCTGATTGTTTTGTTCTTAATTCCAATCTCGCCTTGTTAATACGGTTCATGTCGACTTGATCTTTTTTTTTTTCTGTGGGCAGAATCCCCGTCAGATTAACCGACCGCCTCAGGATCTGACGCTCCCCTCCCCCTCACTCTAAATCCTCTACTCCAAAAAAGCCACAACCTTCTTCTCCTTCTTCTCTCCACCACAAACCACATCGAGCCTGACAGCAGCCATGGCGGAATCAAATGGCGCCCCGAACGGCAACGGCAGGACGGTGCCCGTCACCAACGGCAGCGTCACCTACGCCGAGAAGCACAAGATCGCGGACCACTTCATTGGAGGCAACCGGCTGGCGAATGCGCCCGCCAGCAAGGTCAAGGACTTTGTCGCCGAGCATGACGGCCACACTGTCATTACAAACGTGAGTTGAGCCTCTTCCAGTCTCTGGTTCTCACGCGCTGACTCTGCAAAATCTACGCAGGTTCTGATTGCCAACAACGGCATCGCCGCCGTCAAGGAGATTCGATCAGTCCGGAAATGGGCCTACGAGACGTTTGGCGACGAGAGGGCCATCCACTTCACCGTCATGGCCACGCCCGAGGATTTGCAGGCAAACGCCGACTACATTCGAATGGCTGACCACTACGTCGAGGTCCCTGGAGGCACAAACAACCACAACTACGCCAACGTCGAGCTGATTGTCGACATTGCCGAGCGCATGGACGTCCATGCCGTCTGGGCTGGCTGGTGAGTTGCCCATTTTGCCTTCTCTCGCCATTGGCAAAAACTCAATTGACTGACTTGACCCGTCTCTTTTCTAGGGGCCACGCCTCCGAAAACCCAAAACTCCCAGAGTCCCTCGCCGCATCACCCAAAAAGATCGTCTTCATTGGTCCTCCCGGATCCGCCATGCGATCGCTCGGTGACAAGATCTCCTCCACAATCGTCGCCCAGCACGCCAAGGTGCCCTGCATTCCCTGGTCTGGAACTGGCGTCGACAAGGTCGAGCTCGACGACAAGGGCATTGTCACAGTCGCCGACGACGTCTACTCCAAGGGCTGCGTCACCTCATGGCAGGAGGGTCTGGTCAAGGCCAAGGAGATTGGCTTCCCCGTCATGGTCAAGGCCTCCGAGGGTGGCGGCGGCAAGGGTATCCGAAAGGTCACCAACGAGGAGGAGTTTGAGGCTCTCTACAAGGCTGCTGCCAGCGAGATTCCCGGCTCGCCCATCTTCATCATGAAGCTGGCTGGAAACGCCAGGCATCTCGAGGTCCAGCTGCTTGCGGATCAGTACGGCAACAACATTTCCCTGTTTGGCCGTGATTGTTCCGTCCAGCGTCGTCACCAGAAGATTATCGAGGAGGCTCCCGTCACCATCGCCAAGGCCGACACCTTCAAGGCCATGGAGGAGGCCGCGGTCCGACTGGGTCAGCTCGTCGGCTACGTCTCTGCCGGCACCGTCGAGTACCTCTACTCACACGCCGACGACAAGTTCTACTTCCTCGAGCTCAACCCCCGTCTCCAGGTCGAGCATCCCACCACCGAAATGGTCAGCGGTGTCAACCTGCCCGCCGCACAGCTCCAGATCGCCATGGGCATCCCCCTGCACAGAATCCGCGACATCAGACTGCTGTACGGCGTCGACCCCCGGACTTCCAGCAACATCGACTTCGACTTCAAGCTCGAGGGCACTTCTGGATCCCAGCGACGACCCCAGCCCAAGGGCCACTGCACGGCCTGCCGTATCACCTCTGAGGACCCCGGCGAGGGCTTCAAGCCTTCCAACGGTGTCATGCACGAGCTCAACTTCCGAAGTAGCTCAAACGCCTGGGGTTACTTCTCCGTCGGTACCCAGGGTGGAATTCACAGCTTCTCCGACAGTCAGTTCGGTCACATTTTCGCCTACGGTGAGAACCGACAGGCCTCGCGGAAGCACATGGTCATTGCCCTCAAGGAGCTGAGCATTCGTGGTGACTTCAGGACCACCGTCGAGTATCTCATCAAGCTGCTCGAGACCGAGGCCTTTGAGGAAAACACAATCTCCACCGGTTGGCTGGACGAGCTCATCTCCAAGCGTCTTACCGCTGAGCGACCCGACACTATGCTGGCTGTCGTGTGCGGTGCCATCACCAAAGCCCACATTACGAGCGAGGCTCTGCTGGCCGAGTACCGCGCTGGTCTGGAGAAGGGTCAGGTGCCTTCCAAGGAGATTCTCAAGACCGTCTTCACCATCGACTTCATCTACGAGGGCTTCCGATACAAGTTCACCGCCACCCGCGCCAGTCTCGACACCTACCACCTCTTCATCAACGGCTCCAAGTGCTCCGTCGGCGTTCGCGCCCTCAGCGACGGCGGTCTGCTCATCCTCCTCGACGGCCACAGCCACAACGTCTACTGGAAGGAGGAGGTTGGCGCTACTCGTCTCTCCGTCGACAGCAAGACCTGTCTGCTCGAGCAGGAGAACGACCCTACCCAGCTGCGAACCCCCAGCCCCGGTAAGCTCGTCAAGTATTCCGTCGAGAACGGTGCCCACATCAAGGCCGGCCAGACCTTTGCCGAGGTCGAGGTCATGAAGATGTACATGCCTCTCGTTGCCCAGGAGGACGGCATTGTGCAGCTCATCAAGCAGCCCGGAGCCACTCTTGAGGCCGGAGACATTCTCGGTATCCTCGCTCTGGACGACCCCAGCCGCGTCAAGCAGGCCCAGGCCTTTGTTGGCCAGCTTCCTGCCTATGGCGACCCAGTTGTCGTCGGTACCAAGCCCGCTCAGCGCTTCGTCCTCTACCACAACGTGCTGACCAACATCCTCAACGGTTTCGACAACTCTGTCATCATGGCCGATACCCTCAAGAAGCTCATCGAGGTGCTGCGCGATCCCGAGCTGCCTTTCAGCGAATGGAATGCCCAGTTTGCTGCCCTGCATGCCCGCATGCCCCAGAAGCTCGACAGCCAGTTCACCCAGATTGTCGACCGTGCCAGAGGCCGCTCTGGAGAGTTCCCTGCCAAGGCCCTCAGCAAGGCTTTCGGCAAGTTCCTCGAGGACAATGTTGAGGAAGGCGATGCTGGCCTGCTCAGGGCTACTCTCGCCCCTCTCACCCAGGTGCTTGATGATTACGCCGAGGGCCAAAAGGTTCGGGAACTCGGCGTCATCAACCAGCTCCTCGAGACCTACTGGGAGGTTGAGAAGCTGTTCCAGAGCCGCGCCCAGGAAGATGCCGTCATCCTGAAGCTCCGAGATCAGAACAAGGAGAGCCTGGCCAAGGTTGTGCAGACTGTTCTCTCGCACAGCCGCATGAGCTCCAAGAACTCTCTCATCATTGCCATTCTTGACGAGTACCGCCCCAACAAGCCCAACGTTGGAAACATCAGCAAGCATCTGCGCGAGTCCCTTCGCAAGCTGACTGAGCTGTCCTCCCGAGCCACCTCCAAGGTCTCGCTCAAGGCCCGTGAGATTATGATCCAGTGCTCCCTGCCTTCTCTTGAGGAGCGTACCTCTCAGATGGAGCACATCCTGCGATCATCCGTTGTCGAGTCTCGCTATGGTGAGAGCGGTTGGGACCACCGTGAGCCCAGCTTCGATGTGATCAAGGAGGTCGTCGACTCCAAGTACACCGTCTTTGACGTCTTGACTTCCTTCTTTGCTCACGACGACCCTTGGGTGTCATTGGCATCTCTCGAAGTCTACGTTCGCCGTGCTTACCGTGCGTATATCCTTCAGCAGATTGAGTACCACAATGACGAGGCCGAGAACCCTCTCTTCGTCTCTTGGGACTTCCAACTGCGAAAGCTTGGACAAACCGAGTTTGGCGTCCCTGTTCAGTCTGCCGCCCCCTCCATGCCTGGCACTCCCAGCGAAGTTGAGCCCAAGTTCAACCGCATCAACTCCATCAGCGACATGTCCTATCTCACCAGCAAGTGGGACAGTGGTCCGTCTCGCAAGGGTGTCATTGTCCCTGTCAAGTACATTGACGACGCCGAGGAGCTTCTGCAGAAGGCTTTGGAGACGCTGACCTTTTACAACCAGCAGAAGCGACAGAGCAGCACATCTAGCCTTCTTGCTGACCTGAGCGGAAAGCGAAAGCCCTTTGCTGCTCTCAAGAAGGAGTTCCAGAGCCGCAACAACGGTGATGAGCTGTCTGCTGTCATCAACGTGGCTGTTCGTGACGCCGAGAGCAAGGATGACGCCGAGACCCTCGCTCGCATCTTGCCCATCGTCCAGGGCCTCAAGAGTGAGCTCTTGGTCCGCGGTGTCCGCCGTCTCACCTTCATCTGCGGCCGCAGCGACTGCTCTTACCCCGGCTACTACACCTTCCGAGGCCCCGACTACGAGGAAGACGACAGCATCCGTCACAGCGAGCCCGCCCTGTCCTTCCAGCTTGAGCTTGCCCGTCTCGCCAACTTCCGCATCAAGCCCATGTTCACCGAGAACAAGAACATTCACGTGTACGAGGCTGTTGGAAAGACTGTCGACTCTGATAAGCGCTACTTCACCCGTGCCGTGATTCGACCTGGCCGTCTCCGTGACGAGATCCCCACTGCCGAGTACCTCATCTCAGAGGCCGACCGTGTCATCAACGACATTTTCGATGCCCTTGAGATTATTGGCAACAACAACTCTGATCTCAACCACATCTTCATGAACTTCACTCCCGTCTTCCCGCTTGACCCCGCCACCGTCGAACAGTCCCTCCAGGGCTTCTTGGATCGTTTCGGCGCTCGTGCCTGGAGACTGCGTGTCGCCCAGGTCGAGATTCGCATTGTTTGCACCGACCCCAAGTCCGGTATCCCTTACCCTCTTCGCGTCACCATCACCAACACATCTGGTTACGTCGTCGACGTCGACCTGTACGCTGAGCGCAAGTCTGACAAGGGCGACTGGGTCTTCCACAGCATTGGCGGAACCAAGGACAAGGGCCCCATGCACTTGCTCTCCGTCTCCACGCCTTATGCTACCAAGAACTGGCTCCAGCCTAAGCGATACAAGGCTCACTTGATGGGTACCCAGTACGTGTACGACTTCCCCGAGTTGTTCCGCCAGGCCATCCAGAACAGCTGGGTCAAGGCTGTTAAGAATCAGCCTGCTCTGGCCTCTCAGCGGCCCAAGGTCGGTGACTGTATTACATTCACCGAGCTCGTGGTTGATGACAAGGACAACCTCGACGAGGTCAACCGCGAACCTGGCACCAACACGTGCGGCATGGTTGGATGGATCATCAAGGCTAGAACTCCCGAGTATCCCACCGGCCGTCGTTTCATCGTTGTCGCCAACGACATCACCTACAAGATTGGTTCGTTCGGCCCCAAGGAAGATGACTTCTTCCACAAGTGCACACAGCTGGCTCGCAAGCTCGGAATTCCTCGCATCTACCTGTCTGCCAACTCCGGTGCTCGCCTGGGTCTCGCCGACGAGCTGATGCCTCACTTCAGGGTCGCATGGAACGATGCCACCAAGGCCGAGGGAGGATTCCGCTACCTGTACTTGGACGAGAAGATTAAGCAGCTCTACAAGGACGAGGTCATCACTGAGGAAGTGGTCGAGAATGGTGAGAAGCGACACAAGATTGTCACCATCATTGGACGGGAGGATGGTCTTGGTGTTGAGTGCTTGAGGGGATCCGGTCTTATTGCCGGTGCCACCAGCCAGGCTTACAACGACATCTTTACCATTACTCTGGTCACCTGCCGTTCAGTCGGTAAGTATTTTTGCAATCTGTCTCTATCCTTGGACGTATTTGACTAATAAATCTTTTTTCCAGGTATCGGTGCTTACCTTGTCCGTCTTGGCCAGCGTGCTGTCCAGATTGAGGGCCAGCCCATCATCCTTACTGGTGCTCCCGCTCTGAACAACCTGCTTGGTCGTGAAGTTTACTCATCTAACCTCCAGCTCGGTGGCACTCAGATCATGTACCGCAACGGTGTCTCACACATGACTGCCAACGATGACTTTGAGGGTGTCTCCAAGATTGTCGAGTGGATGGCGTTCGTGCCTGAGAAGCGTGGCGGCCCTGTTCCCGTCATCCCAAGCATTGACAGCTGGGACCGCGACATTTCTTACCACCCTCCCCAGAAGCAGCCTTATGATGTTCGATGGATGATTGGCGGCAAGCAGGAGGACGACGGTTCTTTCCAGAGCGGTCTGTTCGACAAGGACTCCTTTGTTGAGGCCCTTGGCGGCTGGGCCCGAACCGTCGTGGTCGGTCGCGCTCGTCTTGGTGGTATTCCCATGGGTGTTATCGCCGTCGAGACTCGCAGCGTTGAGAACATTACGCCTGCTGATCCCGCCAACCCCGACTCTATCGAGCAGATCACCAACGAAGCTGGTGGTGTCTGGTACCCCAACTCCGCTTTCAAGACTGCCCAAGCTATCAACGACTTCAACAACGGTGAACAGCTTCCTCTCATGATCCTGGCCAACTGGCGTGGGTTCTCCGGTGGTCAGCGAGACATGTACAACGAGGTGCTCAAGTACGGTTCATTTATTGTTGACGCCCTGGTCAAGTACGAGCAGCCCATCTTTGTGTACATTCCTCCCTTTGGTGAGCTCCGTGGCGGTTCATGGGTCGTTGTTGACCCTACTATCAACCCTACTGCTATGGAGATGTACGCTGATAACGAGGCTCGCGGTGGTGTCCTTGAGCCCGATGGTATGATTGGTATCAAGTACCGCAAGGACAAGCAGCTGGAGACCATGGCTCGTCTGGACCCTACCTACGCCGAGCTCAGGAAGAAGCTGGAGGACAAGGCTCTCCCCGCCGACGAGGCCGAGAATATTAAGCAGCAGATCACCATTCGTGAGAAGCAGCTGCTGCCCATCTACGCGCAGATTGCCGTCCAGTTCGCCGATCTGCACGATCGTGCTGGCCGCATGAAGGCCAAGGGTGTCGTCCGTGACTCTCTGGACTGGAGCAATGCCCGCCGATACTTCTACTGGCGTCTGCGCAGACGTCTCAACGAGGAGTACATCCTCAAGCGCATGAACACCAGCTTCCTGCCCACTCCTCAGCTCAACACCGCCAAGGCCAACGAGGCTCGCTCAAAGGGCCTGGGCCTGCTCGAGAGCTGGTCTGGCATTGTCGGCTGGGACCGCAAGGACCAGGAGGTTGCCGAGTGGTACGAGAAGGAGACCCAGTCCATTGGCCAGAAGGTCGAGGCCCTCAAGGCCGACAAGCTGGCTGCTGAGCTGTCCGAGGTGGTTCGCAGCAATGAGAAGGCTGGCTGGAAGGGTGTTCGCGAGGTTCTGCGGGTTATGCCCGTGGAGGAGCGGGAGGCTATCCTCAAGTACTTGAAGGAGTAAAATGTATAATGATAATTAAAAAACATTAATTAGGATGGGTAGAGTTGGGCATCGTGTTTTAAGAGCGGGTGTATGGGTAACGGTTGATGTTTTACGATAGATACAATTTATGAGTTTTCAAATTCAACAAGCTATGTCTCTTGTGTGAAGTTCTGGCGATGATCGTGTGTTAGTTGTTCTCTGATATATAAATGGAGTGATTCATGTAAATCAAGAAAGTGGAATACGGGGATCATATGAATAGGTTGTTGGAATCTCCTCACATGCCCACATCAACTACCTGGATCAACTGCGTAATTCTTCAGTCATTATATATATATTCCATAATTCTTTGTCTAATGAATGTTAAGGCGAGTGTATATGCTCAAATAACTTTTTCTTATATTTAAGTAGAGCCAATTACTCGGTGAGTTGATGGCGTATAATAAGGGACGAGCTGCGAATTGCCAAACTACCTTAAGTATATAAATTAAGATATGTCCTATATGTACCCGATCGATATATATGCATTCCTTTAATAAACTAAACGTTTAATAGAAATAATACCTCGATTTAAATTTCACAGCAAGGATCTCTTTTGCGGCACCGACCGGTTTCCCTAGTGTTTGTTGGTATGCTATTTGACAGATACCCATTGATGATTGCATCATTATAGACGGCAGGGAAGCAACAAGCAGCTTTGTTAGTGGTCATCGTAGCTTCGCACTTTAATATTCTCTATCACTTCCGAGTATAATAGCTCTCATTTGGAACGCGGATGCGGCGCAGACATGCAGAGTTTGTTTAACAGCATGTTTCATTCTATCCATCAATATCGCATACACTGATTCCAAGATTGACAGACGGAATCTTCGCGTTGGTATCTTAAATGGAAGAACCTTTCTCATCTAGCTGCGTCGGTCATGATGGCAATGTGGCAATACTCTGTCCTGTTGATTTTTATTGATATGTTTTTATTTTATTTTAGCGATCTTGCAGCAACTCTGGCACCTTGTCGCCTTTGGCGGAGGAGTTCTCAAGGCTCACAACTTTCACCTCCTTCGCCCGCGCCCGCAGAGATGTCTCTACTTTTGGAGAGAAGAAGAAGGGGAAGAAGGGGAAGAAGGGGAAGAAGAAGAGGAGGTTTAGTACTTGACGATATATATACGCTTCAAAGTACTGTTTGTTAGAGTAAATATATGTAAGCTATAAGTAATTGAATACGGGTGTTGGTGGGCTGGTTTCATGCAGGCTCTGTCGCGAAAGTTTTCGTAAGAGGGTAAAATAATTTGTATGAACACTTGAGAACCTGCTAATTAGCTGGTTGAGAGGGAGAACACAATCTCGTGTTGACTTTGTGAATATACTTCCTCTGGCCCAACTCGCTTTAGAGAGTATGTATGTCCACTCATACAGAACCTTACACAGAATTTAGTCAGTACACGCGAGTAAGTTCCAATGATCGATGCATATTTGTACCCAATAGGATGCTGTGAACACCACAAATGCTTCATATCCAATTGGTTGGCAGTGAGCCAATTATACCTGCAGTACAAAGTGACGCCTTATCGTTGCGCCGACTGCGGCTCTTTCGTTGATGCCAAGTGATGGCCCGTTTCAGCCTCATTGATACCCTACGCCTTTCCCTTCTCCTCATCAAACAGTGCATTTCTTACCTGTTTAGCAAATCGCAACCAAAACCTTTCGTTTCTTTTCTCAACTGAGAAGGAATTTCCTTCTCCTATCACGCACATATCAATAGCCTGGTAGCGTCCGCTGCGTCTTGAACATGGCCCCCGAGAAGAGGTCTCATGACGACTATAGTGTCGGATGGATCTGCGCCTTACCAAAGGAGCAGACAGCCGCGACAGCAATGTTAGATGAGAGACATCCAGATCTCCCAAAGAATATGAATGATACAAACACCTACACGCTCGGCTCAATCGGCTCCCATAATGTTGTCATAGCTTGTTTGCCCAAGGGACAATATGGCACCAATTCTGCGGCTCATGTTGCAACACTTATGATCGGGTCGTTTCCTTCCGTAAAAATCGGGCTTATGGTCGGTATTGGGGGCGGTGTACCCATGAAAGTGAGGCTTGGAGATGTTGTTGTGAGCACTCCGGGTGGCCAACATGCTGGAGTAATCCAGTGGGATCTCGGTAAAGCCACAGAAGGCGGAACATTTGAGAGGACTGGGGCGTTGAGCAATCCGCCGGGCTCTCTTCTAACCGCCTTGGCCAAGTTAGAGACGGAACATGAGCTGACCGGCTCAAAGATCCCTAGCTTCTTAGACGAACTCAAGGCGAAGTATCCAAGATTGGCGAAGAAATACTTGAAGTCTGATTCTCTTCAAGACGTTCTTTTTAAAGCAGACTACCCTCATGTTAATGAGCCTTTTATGAATACTGAGGGTCCCACTGGGGGAATTGCCGAACCATCCCAGGCGGAAGACGTGGAAGAATCGGGAGGAGAAGGGTATGAAGAGCCGTGCCTCTTTTGCGACAGAAACAATATCCTGCCGAGGAGACGTCGATCAATGAAAGTGCATTATGGGCTGATCGCATCAGGGAATAAGGTCATCAAAGACGCATTATATCGGGATAAACTGAATGATGCCCTTGGAGGAAACGTTCTCTGCTTTGAGATGGAAGCGGCTGGCCTGATGAACAATTTCCCATGTTTGGTCATTCGGGGCATCTGTGACTATTGTGACTCACATAAAAACAAACACTGGCAAGAACATGCGGCCGCCGTGGCAGCGGCATTTGCTAAGGAGCTTCTCGGTTGTATTCAACCCAGCGCCGTTAAGGGCGAGCAGTTTATGAGAGACATCATGTGGGGTATGATCAGTGAGAGTTTGTAATTCCATTTTCAATTGATTGTCCCTATTTACATCTTTGGATCTAACCATTGTTCCATGAGCAGTTAGAAAAGAAACACGGCCCGTTTTGGACGTTTTGAGTACCCTTCGTGATGGTATGATTGAAATTGCATTATTAATTTCAGGGCAACGTGGACGCTGACAGTAATCTCTGAAGATAATGAGGCCAAGAAACAAATGGAAATTCTCAATTGGCTTAGCCCTCTCGATTTTCCTCTGCTGCAGCATGATTATCTTAGAAGATGCGAACCCAATACCGGTCAAGAGTTCCTTAGATCAGCTGAGGTCCAAAATTGGCTTTCAACAAGCAACCAAACATTATTTTGTCAAGGCGTTCCGGGGGCGGGAAAAACATTTCAAATGGCCATTTTAATTAATTATCTTATGGAAGAGTACCGAGATAATGACGCAGTTGGCATCGCTTATTTATATTACAATTTTAAACGGCAACAAGATCAGACACCAGAGAAGATGACCGCTACTCTTGTCAAACAACTCGCCCAAAATCTCAGACCCTTCCCCGAAGCGGTGCATCAGCTTCATTGTCGACACAATTCCATGAAAAGCCGTCCTTTTCTCGGAGAACTTTCCAACACTCTTACCTCTCTTATTCAGTCCTTTTCAAGAGTTTTTATTCTCATTGATGCCCTCGATGAAGGCGATGATTACGACCGAAAGAAATTTTTGGACGAAGTGTTCACTATACAGGCCAAGACTGGGCTCAACCTATTTGCAACATCTAGGGCCGCCATTAATCACATTGCAGCTGGGTTTGAAGGAAGCATATTTAGGGATATTTCTCCCACACGTCACGATATCTTTCAGTTCCTCAACGCTCGAATGTCGGAGCTACCATCATTCGTAGCCAATGACAAAGCGCTCCAAGAGGAGATTAAAGAGTCTATTGTATCAGCTATTGAGGGAATGTGAGTACTGTACGTTGGCAGGACATACAGAAGTGTCAGATATTAATAGCTATATATAGGTTCCTCCTTGCTCAACTCTACATTTACTCTCTGGCGGGTAAGAGGGGGCCAGCATCAATCAGAGTAGCACTCCAAGATATACACACGGCTTCCTCTTCGGACGATAGGTCCAGAGTTTTGGACGTGGCATACGACAAATCTATGGAACGAATACAGCAGCTTAAAGGAGATTTGCCTCGCGACGCATTACTCATCATCTCTTGGATTGTCAAGGCTAAAAGGCAATTGAAGTTGATAGAGATACAAGAGGCCCTGGCTGTTGAACTGGGTGCTTTTAAACGAAATCCGGACAATATACCGACAGCCGAACATATTTCTCTCGCTTGCGCTTCGTTAGTAATAGTCAAGGGAGACAGCGTTGAGCTAGTTCACTACACTGCGCAAGAATATTTTGAACGTCCAGACAATAGATGGATGGAGCGAGCCCACGACCGCATAACGGATATCTGTATGACTTATCTTTCATTCTCAGGGTTTAGGCATGATCTCGGCGTCTCGTGGGAGAGCCTGATCAGACGATGCGAAGAGTACCCTTTATACAACTACGCAACAGCTTACTGGGCGGATCATGCCAAAGAAGCTTTGGTTATGGGCCTGGGAGTCTCTAGGGTTATTGATTTTCTTGCAAACGGTCAGACACAAAACTCATGGTATCAAGATTTACTGTACAGCCATTCCTCTCAGCTTTTCTCTTTGGACGCCATGCCATCGCGGTCGACACCGCTGCATGTTGCAGCTTTCTTTGGCCTACACCATGTAGTTGCTACGTTGCTTGCACAAGGGCTTTCCCCAAACATCCATGACTCGCTACTCCGGAAGCCAATATGGTGGGCGACATGGAACGGACATACACAAGTCGTGGAGGTTCTTCTGAGCGATACTACCGACTTGGAAATAAATGACACAGAGCATGGTCAGACGATCTTACATGTAGCTGTTTTACAGGGCTACGAGGCAATCGTTGCATTGCTCCTTGATCAACACAATCTGGAGTCCAAAGATTCCATGGGCCGGACGTCGCTGATGTTGGCAGCCCAATACGGACGCCAAGCTGTCGCAGAATTTCTTTTTTCCAAAGGAGCCGATATTGAAGCCAAAGACGCCAATGGCCAAGCACCGTTATCTCTAGCTGCCAAGTTTGGGCACGAGAACATTGTTAAGTGGCTTGTTGAGAAAGGTGCTTGTCTAGAAACGAAGGACAACAACAACAGGACACCGCTCAGTTTAATCGCCGAGACACTGCATCCGAAAATATCCTCATACATGACTGCAAAATATAACGACACGACTACTACATACCCCGGGCCTTCCATTATTCTTGACTGGGTCAAGCCTGAAATCATTGCAGAGTATCTCATCGAAAAAGGAGCAAATATAGAGACGGAGGACAGCAACGATGAAACTCCTTTGATGCTGGCCATTAAGAGCGCACAAACTAGCCTGACTGCATGCCTCATCGACAACGGCGCTAATCTAGAAGCAAAAGATGAAAATGGCGATACTCTCTTGACATGGGCAATTAAAAATGAAAAAAGCGACCTGATTGCACACCTCATTGAGAAAGGAGCCGATCTGGAAGCAAGAGATGAGAATGGCGACACTGTCTTGACCTGGACAATTAAACAACAAAAAAGTGACCTGGGTACATATCTCATTGAGAAAGGCGCTCGTCTAGATGCAAAAGATGAAAATGGCGATACTCTCTTGACCTGGGCAATTAAAAAACGAAAAACGGACCTGGTCACACAACTCATTGAGAAAGGAGCCGATCTGGAAGCAACAGATCGCAGTGGTCAAACACCTTTGATTCTGGCCACCAAAAGCGAACAGAAGAGCTTGATGATATGCCTTATTAGCAAAGGAGCTAATATAGAAGCAATGGATCTCAAATTTCAGAGCCCATTATCCATAGCTATCAAATCATGGCGCAGGGACATCATCGAACTCTTGATTGATGAAGACGTCAACATAAATAGGGTGATGTCGAATGATCATACACCATTGATGCTGGCAATTGAGAATGGTGACATCGATACCGCTAAGTTGCTTATTGAAAATGGTGCTTTCTTGGATGGGACTTCATGGGCATCCGTTAAGGGTGGCAAATGGAAGAAAAGCCCGTCCAGTCACGATATTGCAAATGGATATAACACCTTGTTAATTTGCGCCTTGTTAATTTGCGCTACTGCAAAGGGAAGCAAATCCCCGTTAACTTGCGCTATCGCAAAGGGAAGAAATGACATCGTGGAAATGCTCATCGGTAAAGGAGCTGATTTGGAGGCTTGCAACTTTAAAACCTGTGAGACCGCATTGATTTTCGCCGCGCAAGAAGGTCGTACAAGTATTACGCGGTTACTCTTGGAGAAAGGCGCCAATATGGAAGCCAGAGATATCCTAGGTGCAACACCTTTGAGCTGGGCCGCCAGTTTCGGACATGAAGATGCTATTGAGCTGCTTCTCGCCAACAATGCCAATATAGAAGCCGCAACTATCTTCGGCCATACACCATTGGGCAGTGCTGCGCTACTTGGACAAACCGATGCTGTTCGGTTACTCCTTGACAATGATGCGAATTTAGAAGCCACGGACATACTTGGACGTACTCCATTGGTCTGTGCAATTGTTCAAAACCGTGTTCCAACCATACGCACAATTCTATCTTCTAGAAAAGCAAAAGTACACTGGCGAGACAAGCAGGGATGTACATTGATGCACTATGCAGTCAAAGAAAAGAACATACATTCGGTCAAACTTTTACTTGGAGTGGATAAGGTGGAAGCTGATGAAAAGGACAACGATGGTCGCACACCGTTTTCATATGCGGCCGAATTAGAAGATCGATCTGACATTTGGAGGGCAATGCTCGCCTCCGGAAAAGTCGACGTTAACACAAGGGACAATCGCGGTCGTACTCCACTTCTACTTGCAATGGAGCACAAGGAGAAACGACTCATGGAAGAATTGCTTAACCTTGACTCAATTGATCCCGACGCAAAAGATGATGAGGGACGTACACCGCTACGATATGCCATCGAATTTCATAATAGATCTGCGATACGAGTTTTAATGAGTTCTCGCCGAGTGAGTATAAACGCAAAAGATGCAGAGGGGCTCACACCATTGCTATATGCAGTCAAATTTTGCAAACCCATAACTGTGATGATACTGTCCCAGCATGAAAGAGTTGATTTCAACGCCAAAGATGACGACGGACGCACGCCATTGCAATCTGCAATGAGATGGAAGATACCAGCCATTACGGAAGCACTACTTCTCACTGGAAAAGTAGATACAAACGCAGAAGATGAAGAGGGATTCACGCCGCTACTATATGCAATAGAAACAGGAGATGTACCTCTTCTAAAACTATTGCTCAATTCTGAACAGGTCAACACGAACGCGAAAGATGAATATGGGCGTACGCCACTGTTTCATGCAGCAAAACGGAGAAGTGAAACTGTTATACGACTAATTCTTAATCACAAAGAGGTCGATGCAAATGCAGCAGATGAACGGGGACAAACACCACTTTTTGATGCGATACAAGAAGGACAGATACCGATTATTCAGGCGCTGCTTGATTCTGGAAAGGTTGATGCTCATATAAAAGACATGCAAGGCCGCACACCGCTGTCCTATGCGATGGAGATTGGGGATAAATTCATTGTGAAGGCATTGCTCGATTTGGACACAGCGGACATCGATATAAGGGACGGTAAAGGAAGGACACCTCTGTCCTATGCCGCCTCATACGATGTGGCCAGGATGTTGATCAAGGCACGCAAAGTTGATGTCAACTCGAAAGATAAACAGGGTAAGACGCCAATATGGCATGCTGCTCAGGCTGGGAATCAAGAATTGGTTGATTTACTGCGGAGGCGAGGTGCCAAGGACGGTTCTGAAGAGAGGAGAACTAATCGTGGTTCGACTCGAAATAGGAGATAACATCAGTGGCCGGTTAAAGTTGAGAAGCGCAATAGTTTTGTCTTACACGGCAAAAGGAATTGGTGTTAGAGGTAGAAGCATTCATCATGGGAATATGATTGAACGATTCGCAGTACCAACGTAAATACACGCTAGATTAGATGCAGTCGTGTATGAGAATGGAGACAGGTCTTCGGATAGGTCGCCAAAATCTGATATATGGTACCTGATTGCAAGTTTTTAAAACCATAACCTCTTCTTACATCGCCAGTTGGCGTATTATCGTTTCTATTTGACTTCATTGTGTTTGTTCACTCCTCCTCCGGCGGCACCCTCGTCCGTATCTGCACCCCATGCCACTCCTTGACAAGATCCCCCAAAGCAGCATTCACCATCCTCTGCTGCTTCAACATATTCAACCCCTTAAACACCGGCGAAGTGATGTCAATCGCATACATGCTTCCGCAACCACCCGATATGTCCTGCACAAGCAGCGACGTGGGGTTCAGCTTCTCAGCCAAGACGGCCGCGATCGAGGATTCGGCGGGTGACATGTCCGCCTCCTGCTCTTCCAGCTGCTCATTCGAAGAAGGCGAAGAGTATCTCTGGAGAGGAGTCGAGGAGAAATGGCGGGATGTCGTCGAGGAGAGGGAGCGAGTGCGCCGTCTGTTGGTGTTGGTGATGGTGGGTTTGAATGTGTTTGCGACGGAAGCAATTGCCGTGCGTGAAGGGCGCGAAGCTGTCGCGAGGAGGCGCAGACGCAGCGCTGAGCGGCAGGAGGAGCAAATCATGATTGTTATTTGGCAGTTCGAGGTTTGTCCGTCTGTTGGAAGAGCTTGAATTGCAGAGGTTGTTGAGTAGAGAAAGATGAAAGGTCCAATGCTGGTGGGAGAATTATTCAGCGGGAATGGATGGAATGGAGCTTTGCCGGAAGCTGGAGCGCTTGCGATGGGCCGAGCCGGGGCTTTGCCGATGGCCGGCTATTTGCCTGCGCCGCATCCAAGTTGCCGAATTGAGCAAGTTGACCGGATGAGGAGCATCTGAAATAAGGTCACTTATAAGCTTAATCACTTATCATTTCAGCTTTTTTACAATATGAATCACAAGTATTAGTTATTAGAGCGTGCTGTTCAACGCTGTGCTGTACCAACTCCAGCTATCCCAATCCGCTAATCTCCCAAACAAAACACAGCCCAAGAACCACTTACACCATCAACATCACCTCACAATCCACATCCCTCCATTCCCATACGCCTTATCCTGCATCACACCAACCTCAGACCTCATTCCCGCCCAATGCAGCGGTATCTTATCCACCTGCGCCACCACCTTGCCCGTCGTATCATCCAGCCTGTCCCCAAGACTTCGACTGCTCTTCACACTCTTCATCATCGCCACTGTATCGTGCGGACCCCAAGCCGCGCGGCCTAAGCTGGCAAGAGTGTTCATAATGTCTTGAGAATGTTCTCCTGCGAGATGCTCTGGCGGGGTATGAGGGTTGGCGGCTGGATGGAGGAAGCCCATGAGCAAGACTTTGACTTTGGCGTCAACAAAGTGCATCTCTTCAAAGTCGTGGATGATGTGTACCATGACGTTGTTCTTCATGGCGACAGAAGGCGGTGCGTGTCGAGACGGCGCTATTGTCACGACAGCTTCGAGCCAGTCGGTGGGCAACATGTCGTTCAATCCTCCACTGGCGTCGTCGTTGCTGGTCTTGGGGGGCTGTATGCATGCCCAAGCGGCGAATACACCTCCCATACGAACCTTGACCTGATCAGACACGCCACTCAGGTTGGCCGTCGGGATACCCAGTTCTGCAATCGACCTCCCCGTCCCTCGAACGACTTTTCCGTCGAATTTCACGGGAAATGGTGCCTCGGGACCGCTTTCTGAACCAACCATGTGAATCACCGGCACATTCACCATCAGAGGATCATATCTTTCTTGTTGATCCCTCTGCCGTCGCCAAGAATCCTGCACAGCATCTCCCATGCCGGTTATTTGATAACTCTGATAGGCCATCGTGCCGGCCTTCTTCACCGTAGAATTCGTCACGATGCTTCCCACCGAGCTGTTCACCACTGCGTTGGCCGCCCCGATATACTTGCTCGCCATAACCTGTCCCACCGTACTGGCAACCTTGACGCCCATCTCCAAAGGCATCGTGCTCAGACTCGCGCCTCTCACGACGCTCACATCAGCAGACGTACTCGCCACGCGAAACACGGGACTCCCGCACAGAACCTTCTTGCCGGCTTCCGCGCCCCCGCAGAGAACGAGGCGAAAGTAACCATCCGACGCGGTGGCGGGAATGCGCACAATGTGAGTTTCTCGCGGGACGTGCTTCTTTTGGCGCCCCGACGCCTTTTTGGCGAACCGCTTGACATCTCGTTGCAGGCTGCGCTCGTCTGCCTCGGACGTGTCGCTCACGTTGGCGCGACGGGCAGGCGTGACGTTGATCCAGGATGAGGTTGTGCCGGCCAACGCCTTGATGGCCATGCCCATGTTGCCAGAGTATCCCTTTTGCTGCATCCAAAGGGTCCGCGTAGGGGGGAGAGGCTCATCCGAGAGGATTGTGATGGAGACTGAAGTAGAAGGACCGGAATACCATATCAATGCGCGAGTGTGCCGAATGATGGAGTAATGGCGCGTAGACTCTGAAGGATGGGAAATGAGGCCCGAGGCAAAATACTGAGCTTCTCCAAACGCCGACTTCCAGATTGAATCCTGCTGCTTCGTTTCCACGGGCATAGTGACCGCCTGCTGCGGATGCGGCGAGAAGCCAGGTGAAGACGGAGACGGAGCCCCGGTAGAGAGCCCAGAGGAGCTCTGAGCGCGCCGAAGAGGCAGTTCCGGCGGTGGAGATGGCGAGAGACCGCCTGGAGACGGTGAGAGGCCCGGATAAGGCGGCGGGGGAGGCAGATCCTCGTACGGCATCATGCTCACGGGAGCAGGGAGCGCCTCGGTGCTGATCTCCGGAAGACGAGCCGTGGTGGCGGATCGCGACACGGAGAGAGGCGGAGGAGGAGTGGGAGAAGAGGGCTCGTGCTTGAGATTGGCGGCTGATTTGCTTGGTCTCAGCTGTTGACTGCTTGAAACTGCTCCAGCCGGCGATGCAACTGATGGCCATGGCGATTCGTCCATGTACATGTCGTAAATGTCTGCTTGGTGGTCATACCCAGGCGCTGGGACGGGCCGCCGCCGCACCGGGACGGGCTTGCGCACGTATCCCATGCCAGGAGACGCCATTGATATGATAACCTTGGATAGGGGCAATTTAAGAAACGAAAGGGAGCCGATCAATTATCCCTGTCTGCCGGCTATGAAATAAACTCATGGGCAATGCATCACGTCTTATTTCGGCGTTGGGCATCGGACGCCCGGCCAGGATAGGGTATATACGATAATGGCTCTTCCGGGAAATGGGGTCGTCAAAGGGGTCCAGTTTCTTTGTCCGGACTCGCTGGGGAATTTGTCCGGCTGAGAGTCTGAGAGGCCTTTGACCGGGGGCGCGGAAAAAGTTTACACAGTGTGTCGTGAAGCAAAAGCCATCAATGGTGGCCTCGTATTGGTACGCGTAAGCAGGTTCGCACCTCTTCAGCGCTTTGTGTAATCTCGTATACAAGAGTTAGTGTGCACAGAGCGAGATTGATATCATCATGTGGTCATTTCTCTTTCATTTCTTTTTTCTTTTCGTCTTTTGTCTTTGGTCTTTGTTCACATTTTGACGCTATGGAAAAAATGGCTTGCTTTGTTTGCGTCCGCTAGCTAGCCGCCATGAGGGCCTCCAACTGAGCCGGCTCCTTGATTGCGGTGGTGAGGTTTTCGTAGCCCGTCTCGGTGACGAGAATGTTGTCCTCGATACTGTAGCCACGTCAGCATGTTATTCTGATAGTAAACCATGGTAGATGGATGGAAATGGAGATTGATGGCTTACCGAACACCGCCCACGTCCCAGTACTTGGCAAGCACATCGGCGTCAATGTACTTGCTGTGCTCGGGGTTCTCCAAGTAGGGATCGATGATGAACTTGCAAAAGTAGACCTGCAGCCGTGTGAGATTTAGATGCATCATATGAAATCTCATGAAATACTTACACCCGGCTCAACAGTCACAACGCCACCAGCGGGGACCTGGCCTCGCAGGCGCAGGTTCTGGAAGATGACATCGGGGTCCTGGCGGTTGTGGTTACCGCCGGTGTCGTGGGTGTCCATGCCCAGGTAGTGTCCAAGGCCGTGGGGGAAGAAGGCCTGGCTGGTTCTGGCCTTGAAGATCTCGTCCTTGTCGCCCTTGAGGATGCCGATGGCCAACAGGCCGTCAATGGCAATCTTGTGGGCCAGGATGTGGGCATCTTCCCAGTGCACGCCGGCCTTGAGGATAGCCATGGTCTCCTTTTGCATCTTGAGGACGATGTCGTAAATCTCACGGCCCTCTTTGGTGAACTTGCCGTTGAGGGGGAAAGTTCTTGTCTGCGGTCACTGTCAGTCTCGCAGTCACATCAAAGCCGAGTTACCTCGTGATTTTCTAGTCGGTAGAAAGGGAAAAGAAGAAGAAAGCGAAAGGTAGGCAACTTACAATATCAGCAGCGTAATTGTCCCACTCGGCACCGGCATCAATCAGCAGGTTCTGCTTTCCAGCCAACGGAGCAACGTTGGTGATGTAGTGAAGAGTCGCCGCAGCCGTGCCGCTGGCAACAATGGGCGTGTATGCCATGTTCTTGGCGCCGTGGGCAACGCATCGCTCCAAGAAGACAGCCTCAAGCTCCCTCTCGTTGGACGCCTTGTTTGCCTTTTCAACAACGGCCTTGTGGGCCAAGCTGGAGACGTGGTTGGCCTTGCGGATCATGGCCACCTCGAACTCGTCCTTGACGACCCGAGAGAGTTCAATGGCCTCCTTGAGGAGAGCAAAGTCCTTGTTCTCGAATCCGATAAAGGTGATGTGATCCGAGACCTGGCCGTTGATGGCGTAGATTGTAGAGGTGGAGTTTGTGCTCGAAATGTGAGCCAGCGTGGCGTTGACCTCGGTGGTGTACTTGACCTCGTCGACGTCGTACAGCTCGAGGGCCTCGTCGATGGTGGTTGGGAGGCCGGACCAGATGACATCGCGAGGGTCGATCGGGGGGATGAAGAGGGTCGACTTGGCGGACTGGATGTCGTAGGTGAAGTAGCAGTCGGGCAGGTTGCAGCCGGTGAGGTAGTAGAAGTAGCGACGCTGGCTGTGGAATCAGGCCAAGTTAGCACATCATCACATACGCGGCTAAGCATACACAGAGCTGCATCGTCCATACCGGAAGGGCTCGGGAGAGTCATTGTCCTCGAGGAGCTTGGTCATGCGGCCCTCGAGATAGAGAACGCCGTTGGCCTTGGGATCCTTGTTGCGGATCTGGTCGACGACGCGGCTGGCGTGCGCCTTGCCCGGGTACTTGCCCTTGAGCACGGCTTCGAAATCTTCGGCGACCATCTTTGCGTGGAATCGATGCGACGAGTGGGAGAAGCAGCGACGACGAGCGTGTCGAGGGAGAGGAGCAAAAGTTGATGGCAGAGATCGGGATTGGCGATGATTTGGACCAAGTTTATGGTGGGGGATTACGCGGGGCAGTCTGGGTACATGTACAAGCGCTGATAGCAGAGTTGGCCGATGGACAGGACGCAACGCTACGAAACCGGACATGGAGCAAGGCGGATAAGGAGATGGTGCAAGTAGTATGCAATCAATGGATGTCCAGGTATGTTGACATTACATTACAATCCGTAGACTTGCGTCTTTGTCCGGAGGGGGAGGGGCTTGTGAAAAGTTCCATCATGAGGCCTTCGATGTCGGGGTACTTTTTTTGGAGGATCTCGGCCTTGGACTCCGTTTTGCCGAGTGTAGGTTAGGTACAAGTCCGTCCGAGTAAGTGCACTCATCAGGTAATGTACCTACCTAGTACATGAGCCATAGCTCCCGGAGCTGCAGCGGCAGTGGCGCTTTTGATGTCAAGGTCATGGTCATATATTACAAGAACCGAGTAAAAATACAATAGAGATTGCCGTATACGGCAATAAGATGCACTTGACACATCAGACGAGTAGCAGCTGAACCAACGAATTCACCTCCAAGTGGTAAAGGAACACATTCGAACAAGAGCCTTGTAAGAGTCCCCTGTGCCGCGGCAGCTCTCCAGCGCTGTAAAAATTGAGTTGACGGCAAACGAACGCACGGGCGGCGAACCGCTGGAGAACCCCCGAGTTAGTGGACTCCACCCCGCTGGAACTGCTCAACTCGTCGGTCTCCACAGCGGCTGCCAGCGGCTCATCTGCCATTACGCTACCGTCCTCATATCGATGTCTGCACGGCTCGTATCTTATCAAAGCCAACTGAGACTTGAGCTGCAGGTCTCAGCCACGCAAAATCTGTACATACAGCATAGTATCTTTGCCAACTATTATGAATGATCGGTAGTCAGCATCACTCTACCCCTGCACGAACCTCACATTAGTGCATCAAAGATACAAGGATACCCGACGGCTAAGGGATTGGGGGTTACAGGCAGATCTACGGTATGGATGTCAGTGCGGTCACCGGCTGGGACCTTGGCGCACAGACACGGGGAACTTCAAAGTACCGGATACTTGGGACGGGCTGCTGAGACAGGGCGTCCTTGACGTGCCGTCCTTGGGCCAAGCCGTTCAGTCATTATGATAGTGGAATCTGGGAGGGTGTGGTTGCAACAGCATTGTACCTGGATACATCATGTATAAACTCATGTCACTTATCACTTCCATACAAAGTGTCCGTCTCCCTGCATCAAGCTTCAGTTGATCAACAATCATGTTGATATAGGTATTGATCCCTGTACCTTACTAAATGTACTAACCTGGTAACCAGATGCCTGGAGCGGATGAACCCGAGTGTGCGTGTACATGTACTTGTACGTACCTCTTTCTAGAGCGCTGAAAGGAAGGAAGGGATGGATGAGTAAGGAGCGAGGACTCGACTGCCTCCCATTCTCTATTCGACCTCACAGAATAATGCATCTATTACGAAAACTTCATCTTGACCATCTCGACGCAAAATCGTTCATCCCAAATACCCTCAAAGACCGCTGTACTACATACTTGTGCTGATCATTGCTGACACCCTGCTAGCTGCCGTACCTCGTGTGCAACCATGCCGACGTCTGTCCCGGGAAGCCGGGCCGTCAAAGCACTGGGAGATATTACTCAGCCGCATCACCAGCATCACATCTCCCGTCTCCCGCCTCTCTCCCTGCATAACAGGCGATCATCGCCATCTCGCAGAAAAAAGCCTCTTCGGTCGTGTCTCTCGTATACGAGTAGCGCCTCCATGCTACAGCGCCGTGCCGCCCTTGACGATCCTCTCCGGTTTCCATTCATCCCCATGGCAGTCTCAGACTCACCGCAAATCCATCTTGACCAAAGCGTCTGAGTCCAGCTTCATCTCGCCAAGCCCTTTGCTTTTTCCACGGCTTCAGATTGCGGACGAGGGATCCAAATCGCTTCTGCCCTTCTCCACCTGCATGTGTGAAACAGAATCTACCATCTCCGCGGAACCAGCTCAGTGCTGTCTGCTGAAGCATCACGGCTCGATATGATGAGACAAACTTCAATAGTGTTCAATCTGCAGGTCCAAGACACTGGCTTTTGCCGTGCTCACCGTCATCTCTCTAAGCGCCGTGACCGGCCACCTGATGGCGAAGCAATGTCCGCGCCGCCATGCTGCCTGGAAATTGCTCAAGACAAAGAGAGCCACGCGCGTCACAAGACCTCAATAGTCCATATCATGTCTTAGGACGCCTGGTGAACGCACAAGTGCACATCCGCGAGCCATCCGCGAGCACACGCTCGCTAGGACATGCATGGGCGCTCTGCTCTGTGAGCGGAAGACGGTTCGGATGAGCGAGCGGACGCCTTGGCCGATCACACGGCACTGCGTCTAATTAGACACCCAGAAAAGCAAATGGCGTTCATGTGACGGGACAGAACTAGTATCAGGATGGCATCTGCCACACCTCGCGGTGCCGTCCCTGCGCCCAGACCGTCGGCCGATCGTGTGCCTACACCCGGTACATGGGACTTAGTGTAGGACCCCGACAGCCTGGGCTCCTCAAGCAGATCACGTAGGCTTGGCCGAGATGGAAGAGTGGAAATCTGGTTCTACTGTTCAACAGACACGTTTAGCTTCCGAAACGTGGTCGCGTGTAAGGGACAATGGCGGGAGCGTGCCGTCTTTGTTCGCTGTCTTTGCCTTGCGGACGGATAGCTGCCCGTCGGCTTTTGACATTTCGGTAGCCCGTGGGCTCACTGGATACTGAGAAAATGAGTGCCGAGAAGATGGATACCGGGGAAAAGGGTACCAATCGATCTGGTACGCCGTACCCTTGCAACGGAGGGACACCTGATCTGTTAATTTGCGCCACACGTCACACAGATCCCCTTGCTGCTCTGGAGTCCCCCCCCCCCCCTATCCGTCAGAGACAACTTTAAGCGAGAGTATTAGAGGGCAAGAGAGGGAGAAGAAGCAAGAGAGAAAGAGGATACGGGAGAAAGAGAGAGTGTATAGACTTGAAACTTTGGGAAGTGTGGCATTTATGTATGTGCTAGATACGTGAGATTCCTGGTACCCCCAGGAGAAGCCACCAGATGACGCCTTTGAGGGCTCATCTTTCTGGGCTTTATCTCCACCCTATCATCACCTGGACGGATCCATCTGTGATCATACAAGGCCATCGGGAGATGAGCGGATCCTAATTGCCCAGGCATCTGCCAATTGGGAGGCCAGAACCATCATGGCTGGCACACAAGACACAGTTTCACAGAGACATTGCCACGTTTTGTCATGGTTTTATGCATATACCTATGTTGGTAATTTTGACCGTCGATCTCGTCGACAACCAATCATCTCGAGTACAGACACGGTTGGACGACCTCTTTTGTCCAAGAACAAAGACATGGCTAAACGCCGAGCCTGGCGGCTGAGACATTTCTTACGGACTACTAATTGCCCAAAGCCCCCGTTCTTGTCCAAGAGGTTTCCAAAGTCGATATTCTTAAGAGATGAGGCGAGCTGTTCTGGAATCGTTGCGCCAGGCCTTGCAATAATCGCAAAGAGTGAACAAGAAGCAGTCAGAGGAAGCCGAAAGGCCCCCCGAGCCCGCTCAGCGAACACATACGACCTGCTGAACAAGCAGACAAAGGACGATGGCACGCTCGAATACAAAGAGTAGTCTCTATTTCCGAGCTACTTCTAGTTGGAGAGTGTACATGACACTTTGTATACCGAGCGCTTGTCCGACAGTGAAGCGATGGCATACAGCGCCTTGATCCCAGCACGCCGGGACACGCCACCAAGGCATTCGGCCCTCTATCTTTCACTAATACGCCATGGCTCTGGTTGGTACATCCCGGAGCATTTCTGCCGCTTTTTTCTCTCTGGATGTGTTACCTCGCTTGCAAGAATGCTCCAATTCTGAGCAGAGGAACAAGAGAGAGAGAGAGAGAGAGAGAGAGAGAGAGAGAGAGAGAGAGAGAGAGAGAGAGAGAGAGGCCAAAGATGGCTCACCACCAGCGTGAAGCATATTTCTTGTTCCCTCATTGCTTTTCTCGCCTAATCTATTTGGCTACGCCGCTGCCAATCTGCTCAGTCTATGCCGCCGGGGAATTACCAAGCCGGGGGACCAGGGAGTGTGGCGGACCGGCCGCGTCTTAGTCCGAGATCCCCCATCCCCGGCCCCTGTCCACACCTCCGGACTGAGGGCCTGAGGCCGACCAAGTTTCCAAGCTCTGCCGCCCATCAGACCAAGATATGGGGCTAGCTTCATCTTGGGCAAAGCCCCCGCCAGATTGTTTTGCACGCCCCCTCCCCTGCACCGAGAACCGGGAACCAAGTTAGTGCTTTCAGCCTCATCCAGGGACTGGTCAGCTCTCGAACCAGGCAGATATCTCTCACTAACACGGCTTTCTGAGAGCTGTCGGTCACTGGAGGAAGAAATTATGAGTACCACTCTGCGCCCCGGAGAGCAAAGACAAAGCTGGAGAGCATAAGCGAGCCAAACAGGATGTGAACACATATGCGAACCAAGAGCATGCTCTGGTGTAAGGGGGTACGATGGTCGCTCGGGGAAAGATAGTGTGGAGGAGCACTGACACCACCACCACCACTCTGGATGCCTGTCACGTTTCCGTCCAGTGTACTTGATATACCTGCTGACATCTGTCTTGACGTGCTTGTCGAGAGCAACCCAGTCTCTGAGACTGCATCCGATTCGTTGATACGGGGAGATGAGCGGCCGCCGCACTTGCAAGCCGATATCCATATCCACCCCCAGTCGGCGCCTTTTGCGATGGCTCCAGTAGACGGACAGAGACAAGCCGGAGCACCACCTGATGTCACTTGTACTCGGGGAGCAGCCCGTGTATTACATGTGCCTGTGAGATGCTCGCGGCTTGCTTTTTCTCATGGCTACAAAGGTTGAACGCTTGGTTGAACACCTGGTTGAACACCCGGATGAACAACGGCCTTGTCCAAAAACAGAAGCCTTTGTCTCTGGATCAGACTTTGGCTTTGGCAAGCCACTACTGTGACGAGATGAAAGAGCGATCCACAAGTTGAACACACTTTGAACACACAAACTGCTTTTGTTAGGGGGAAAACAGATATATAATGAGGCCCTTTCTCGCTCATCTCGTCGAGTATCCAACCTCCAAAGCAACACACATCCACTGCTCTCCTCTACCTGAACTATCACCATCTTCACCATTTTCACCTACTTCTCTATCAATCTCTCGCCTTATAAACCATCTTCGCAGCAATGGCAGTCACTCAAGCCATGCCCAACCCCGCTGTTCAGGCCCGAGTTGGCCAAGTGCTGCCTCTCATTAGAGTCCAGCATGTGGATAACAATCCGGCTGTCAATTACTTTGCAACCCCGGTGCTTGTAAGCGATACCGGCGCTGTGGTTGATGCCCTCCAGGCAACCAGAGCTGTAACGGGCAGGCCAATCAACGGGGGCTTCATCCAATACACCTTTACCGATCTGGTCATCTTAGCCCCCGGCACCTACTACCTTCGCGCAGATGTGTACGAGTTGATTGGGGGCGCCGGTCTTGTGGCACAGATCAACTCGATCCCAATTGTGGTGACCAACTAGATGCAGCATCAGGTAAGGCCGACTATCATGAAGAGGGACTCCGAGGAGAGGTGCTAATTCTTTCTCTTGCTACGCTATAGCACTGCATCTATCGGAGTGACTCAATTGGGAGTCCCGACGCTGGAAATTGTTTGGCAGGTACCATCTAGTACCAGGGAAATATTGTTGTTTCATATTCATGGCATGGTGGTCTTGGGACAAGTACCCGTGAGAGCCCTCTGCCTCTAACAGCGGAGTGTTGGGCTCTAGGGGAATAAAAAGCATGGCAATGCATAGGGGACTGATGGGTTATACCACTTCAGCACAAGGGCTGTGGGAAGGGAAAATGGCCCTGTCTCAGGTGGTTTAGATAGATAACATGGTTCACACTGCTACACAGCACTCTATTATTTTCCCGTCCCCAAACGAAACTGACAGGCCCGGCCCTGTCAGGCCCTGTGACTGTGACCCAGCATGAGCCCTCTCCGTTCCCCCGGGACCGCTGTGACAGGCAACCTCGGACGCCTCAGCTTTGGGATCTGATCTATCAGACGGGCCAAATCTGGGCTGTGCACATGAACCTTGTCCATACCAAGGAACGAGGCGCGGGTTGACGAGCATCCGTGCAGCCAAAAATCCAGCCACCAGGGTAGTGGTGCCCGCACTTTATTTCGAGGCAGATCATGCCCGTACACCATACACTACCCCATGTAAATTGAAACCGGGGAATGAACCGACTCCCAGCCGTGTTGTGAGAAACAAAGAAAAAAAAGAAAAGAAAAATGCGGTCACTTGTACGCGCCTCGTAGAGAGAGCTAGGTTGTTTTTGGTAACACGATTGGCGGTCACGGTCAAGCAAACAAGCAAGCATGGACAGACGCTGCTGCTGCTGCTGCTAGGGAGCTTCTTACAAGAGAGAGAGGAATGTCTTGTGGGAAGACTGGAGAGATACAGTGTTGGGGTGTTTATTGGGTTCGCTTGAGGTGAGGTGGGCATTTGGGAAAGACGTAAGGGGGGTGGGATGGAAGATACAAGCAGTGTGGGCAAGAACAAGAAAAGAAAGAAGCACGATTGAACAAGGGAAGAGGGTTGTCTCGCCTTAGCTGAAGCTGAATTACAAAAAAAAAACCAAGATGTCTCGAGATTTGCGGATGGGCAAGCCACAAGAGCCCCCCCCCCCGAGTGTGTTCAAATCGGACGAGAGAAACAGGGGGGGGAAGCGGCCGAAATTCATCGGAGTCGACTGTGGTTGGCTGGAAATACGGTTGACGTAGAGAGGAAAGGGATGAGCTTTTGTGCAATATTTGATTTGGGGTGGCCTTTTTTTTGTGTATGCTGTGTAACGGACGGTGGAGATTGGGGGGGAGGGGTGTTAGTTTTTCCAAGGGGGAGGGTTTTTTATGAGTTGTGAGATGAGATTCGGGGCGGTGCGAGATGTGGTTTCGATCTTGACAAGATGGAATGCTAGCTTGGATCGCCGGGATTTTTGGGGAAAAAGTTTGGGGGGTTGCACGAGAGATTTTGATGGATGGTTGAGTTTGAGGGAGTGCGTGTAAGAGAACGAGACAGGGAGAAAGACGCCATCGTGTACAGTGTGAGAGATTGCTGATTTGGTGAGTTTGCACTGTGGTATGCACGCCTGAGATCAGAGTGGAGTCACGTGTCTCACAGGAATGGCCGGGTCTCCACAACTCGGCAGCCTCTTTTGTCTCTTGGAGTTGCTTTTTGGGACGAGACGGATGGGAAGAGAAGAAGGAAGCGATCAGCGAAAAGAAGAGACAAGCAGAAACTGAAGAAACCAGGATAGAGAGAGAGAGAGAGAGAGAGAAAAGATGGTGTATTACTTTTCCTCCAGTGTCGTGGAGCCGGCGGGCTTCATTTACGTGGGCAAGGACAAGTTTGAGAGTGAGTTTGTGCTTGTTCCTTGTCACTGTGAATGAAGATGCCTGACGCTGCTTCTTGTTTAGACGAGGATCTCATCAAGTATGGCTGGGAGGAAGATGTCTGGTATGAGACCGGGTCCCCTTTCCCTCCTCTTTTACCACTGGCTGACACCCTCTGTGCTCTCCCTCTATCCAGGGTATGTGCGATGAACCCCTACCACTATCAACTTCAACAGATGCTCAAACACAACAGCTGAGAGACCATCTGTTCAACCCAAAAGAAGAAATAAATACTCACATCACATGTTCCGCCAGTTTCACGTCGACAAGCTCTCCAGCGCCCACATCTACCTGCGCATGCAACCCGGCCAGACATGGGACAACCTGCCCGACGAGCTGGTCATGGACCTGGCACAGCTCACAAAGGCAAACTCAATAGAAGGTTCGTTTCCACGCTCCTCAGTCTTGCCCATTCCATCGAATCTCGTGAAGCAGTGCTCATCATCTTCTCTCTCACTCACAGGCAATAAAAAAGACAACATCACCGTCATCTACACGCCCTGGTCAAACCTCAAAAAGGACGGCAGCATGGACGTCGGCCAAGTCTCCTTTCACGACCAACGAAAAGCAAGACAAGCTCTCCCCCGATACAAACCTTCGCAAGAAGAAAAAAACACTCACATCTAACCCATGAGCAAACAGGTCAAGCGCATCCTCGTCCCCCACCGCGAAAACCCCATCGTCAACCGCCTCAACAAGACAAAAGTCGAAAAGAAGCCCGACCTCAAGGCCGAGCGAGACGACGTGCTCAAGGAGCTGCGCAAGAGAGACCAGGCCGCCCAGCTGATCAAGGTACGCAACGTAACACGCGGCATATTCTGAACCAGGCAGCAGCTTTTGCTGCATTATTGCTGGATGGTGTGAATGCTTTCTGGCTGACTTGTATTGGGACAGAAAAAAGAAGAGCAGCGACAGGCACAAGAATGGAAGGAAAAGAAGTGGCAAAAGGACCATGCCTACGACGACTTGTTCACCGACGAGAACATGGCTGCGTCGAGTAACCAGGATCGAGCGCAAGACTGGGAAGACGACTTCATGTAGATGCATTGCATTGTTACAGACCACCAATCCTTGAAGCCATCATGGCAATAAAAAAAATAGAAGGAAGAAGAAAAGAAAACCATTTCCATAACTGACTGTTCCTGTAAAAGTAGGGTATACAAAGACTCATAGCATTACCAAAGTCGTCTTTAAAATCCAAGCCCAGTATATATCCAACACCCGTCTACCTACACGTTGCAGTCAACCCTTCGATTGCCAATCTTCATCCCCTCCATCTGCCTTGTAATCCCCGGCAGCTCAGCAACCTCCAGGATAATCGGACTTGATGAGGTCACCGGCGTCGCGATTCTCTTTGGGCTCGATGGCTCGCCCACCAGGGCTGGAGGCATGTCGTATTCCTCCTCTTCTTCTTCTTCGTCTTCTTCCCCCAAAGCATCATCGTCATCCTCTGCCAATCGTCGCGTCTTGTCAAGCTCCTCGGCATCGTGGAGCATCACCACGGGCTCACCACCTGGCAGTCGCACCTCGGTCGCTTCCAGGGTTTGCGCAATGTCCAGGAGCAAAACATCCATCGGGCAGATATACGCAACGTGTTTACGCGGGCTCCAGGCAAGTACGTGTCCGCAGAGCTGCCCTTGATGCCGATCGACAATCCAAGCCCCGCTGTCTCCCGGTATGCCCAGAGGAATGGACGGCTTCGCAGAAGGGCCCGACGCCGGCGACGGAGTGCTGGCAATTTGGTACGTATGACTTGGTGACTGGCGTCCGTAAATCTTGACACTCGTCAGGGCCGGAAGAATCTGTCCCGTTTGCGTCCCGCTCGTCCGTGCAACACACTGAACCTCGAGACCCGGAAGAGAAGCCCATGGTGCCACCGTAGTCGGTCGGAGCATTGGCTGATTCTTTGTGTTTCTCTTACCCAGACTGCGACATCTTTGGGTCGCATCATCCGAAACCTTGGGAATATAATTGTCGTCTGGCAGGCGCCCGTCAGAAAACTCAAAGAGCGCCCAGTCGACCTCGTGGACCAAGCCATTGGCCTGCTTGCGGCGAATGCCACTCGAAGCGTACACTTCGCCCAAGCTGTAGGTATCGAGATGATCTTCGTCCTCAGTCTCAGCATAAGGATAAAATCCTTCCTCGACGTCGTCCAGGGCAGGCTGAGTGACGATGTAGCCATCGCCACATCCGGGCTCTATGCCGGGAATGTCACCAGGCTCATTGTACTCTTCGTCTTCCTCGTCTTCCTCATCATCATAGTCGCTGGTGAGGTCCGTCTCGGAATATGGCTCCGATTCTGTGTCGGACAGTTCGTAGGAAAAGTCCTCGCTGTCAAAGCTTCCAAAAGTCGACTCGGGGAGCCACTCCCGGCCGGCAATGGCGCTGCTGCGCAATGTATCGGGAGGACCAAAATCTCGATCCGGGTCATCGAGCATATGATGAACAGTCATTCCATACGTCTTGTCATCGACAATGACGAGGCCGCCAAAGCTCACAGGTGGCAGGTGACGATCCCCAATCCAAGCTCCGATGCTTGCGCCATTGTTTGGCCTCTCTTGGTACTCGGGGTTCACGGCTTCGACGTGGTCATCGTCGCTGTCGTGATTTCCACCAGACTTGCTCCCCCGTGCCATGGATCTCATGACTGCGCCCGCCTGTCTCCGCGACCGAATGACGCTACCGCGACAAACCTTGAGGCCAAACCCTGTAGAGTCGTCAAAGAGCTCACTCAGCTTCTTGTTCAAGATGGCACGGACTTTGCCAACAGATGTGCAGACGACCAAAACAGTAGGCCTGGTCTGGTGGGGGGTTGGGCCCACAGACTCAAGAGATATCTCGACCGACTCTGGGTGTTTGCGATAAAAGGTCTTGAGAGCAGTGTTGATCTGAGGCATGAGAATGGAGTTCCATTTCTCCACCACATCAGGAGGCAGGGGCACATGAGGGTATAATCGGACTTTGGTTTCGGGCTTGCTTTCTTTGATTTCGGGTTCTGTGTTTCTATTAGACGCTTTTGCCTCCCTGGCATTACAAGGGAAAATATTGCCAACAACGTACCAATTGTTTCAACCTTTTGCTCTTTAGTGTGAGTTGGTGTTGGGGTTGGCGGTAGAGGCGGCTTCTTGGTAGGGGCCACAGGCACGGTCATTGACTTTTGATCTTTAACGTCTTTGGAAGGCCCAGCCGTAGTCAGGGTAGGGGCTTCAACGGGAGATGACTCCTGGCCCAGCCTTTCCTCGAACCCGCTGACGCCATCTAGAATGCAGCAGGCTTCCAAGAATCGAGTGACGCGCATCTGAACGGCCGAAAGCAGTGACTCGCCTTTGGCCACGCCGGAGAGCTCTTCATCCACAACCTTCCAACAGGCTTGGACGGCCTTCATGTACAACGTACCACATCTAATGGCCAGCGTCTCTAGAGCGGATTCAGGGACAGTCGTGGGCGCCGCCCCAGGCGCGAGGTCTTCTAGCTTCGTCCACAATCCAATAGACAGCAAGATCATCGCCAAGGAATAGACTTCCAAGACTCTCTCGTCAGTGGACTGGGGAAGAGGCGACACCCGCGCAGCCCGAGGGTCAAGAGGATGCCGCCATATAATGCTTTCGGGCGAAAGCTCCTCAATGAAGACGTCAAACGACGACAGCACAGGACGGCGAATATCAACAAGGCCCTTCTCATCGCCAGGGCCTGCAGCAGTAGCTCTGCTGAATGAAATGTTGACATCAGAGAGGTTGCCATGAGTAATTCCTCTAGCGTGCAGGTCAAACACGGTATTTGTGAGGTTGTATGCAAATCGAAACTTGGCCTCCAGGGGGGGCTCCGAGCCGCCACGAGCAAGAAGATCGCTCAGAGTGGGCAGGCTATACTGAGGGTTTTGGCTCACTTTATTGGAAGCGAGAGTGTTGAACGAAGGAGGAAAGAGGTATACCAAGCCCAGTCGAGAATTTTCCAAGTCTTCAAAGTAACCGAGCAGACGAGGCAGACCAGTCCAAGAGCCAGGCGCTCTCTGGGGATCTTTTTGAAGACCGGCCGACAACTTTTCGAAACGGGCCATCGGGGGCATGATGCCCGTGGTCGAATAGATGGGATCAAAGTTGGCATACTCAAGCAGGAGAGGGGCCCAAGGTTGTCGAGTGGCACCCTGGGTCGTAAGCTCGGAATAGGCCGTCTTGCTCATGTAGACAACGTTTCGACAAGACTCGGATATTGTGCTAAGTCCATCTTGCATGGGTTGCAAGTGCGTCAAGCTCCTGGGGTCGATTTGCTGAGGAGTCTGCATCCGTGTTGACTCAAATGGTCTAAAGTCACCCTCAGCGGCGGCCGACTTGTGAGCCGGCTTGGTCAGTTGCGGGTTCAAGGCCTCAGACGAACGCATTCGCGACAAGTCGTAGAGAGTATCGATGGAAGCAGTGAGATCACGGATGAGATCCTCGAACCGGCCCTTGTCCCACTGGACCAATGGCGCTTTTCGATCTGGCGATGGGCGAACGCCCTCAACAACCCGCTTGTAGCTTAGCCATAGGGGTTCAGCTTCAGCAAGAATGTCCTTGATGGTGGACATGATACTGCCAACGACCTCACTCAGGCCGGCCTTGGAGAGAGACTCATCGATCTCGGCAGACTGGTTGGGATCTGACCACTCCAGTCCCCAGCTGACAAAGCGGTCCTTTTGGATGCGCAGTTTGCGATAGAGGGCCTTGATCTCGGGATCGTCCTCATGCCGGGCAGGCTCCTTGACAAAGTCGCTGGATTTCTTGGTGTCATTGTAAAGACGGCTCAAGCGACGCTGAAAGGGCAGCTGAAAGCCGACCATTGGCCGAATTCGCTCCATCCTTTTGCTAGATGAGGTATGGGGAAAGGCTGAATGCTGCTTTCTCCCCTATCGCTGCCTATATATTGGAGATTTGCTGTTGCCTGAAGGGGACCCCGTTTGATAAAGGTGAGCGCTTGCTGCTATCAGGCGCTGGGGGCGGCACCCGGTTGGATCGGGGATACTCAAAGCGGATCTAAGCTGGAATCTCGCCTGACCTGGACGCTGCAGCTGCAGGGCGGATTCGAGTCGAGTCTGCGACGCTTGATTCAAGCGCGGTGCATCGCAGCGCTTAGCAGCGTCGCAAAGATTCCCAAGAGCAGGCCCGTGGCGAGCAATTCGTCAATCGGACAACGGGGGGTCAGCTGAACCTTATGCAGGCACCTGTTCGATAACTCGTACACCCTCAACAAGGGGGGCAAACCCGGTGCAACGGTAGGTGGTGAGCGCAGAAAAGAAGAAAAAAAAGTGAGAAGCAACTCGCAGCTCCTCAGAACGGAATGCCAACGCGGCCTCGAGGAGAGTCGGATCAGGCAAACGAATTGTCGAGACAGACTCGGGCCAGACAAGACAAAGACTCAGAACGGATTCATCAGCGGGCTAATGCGATGCGCGATCCCCGGAGCAACGTTCGTTGTCGACTCGAAACTCGCTGCCTTGCGGTGGCACAGACAACAGACTGTCCTATCAACTCGTCCATCCCGTCGGCTTTTCTCCCCGCAGCGCTGGACCGGTGGGGGGTTTGCAGGTAACCCAGAACGACAACCAGCGAATCCCATCGAGCCAGAATCCTGCTGCCTGGTGCCGTTGGTGGGCGACGGCGTGATGCTGATTGGAGGGCGAGATGAGACTGGGGCCGATCTTTGGAGGTTCGGCTGGTGAGAATTCGGAGAAGCTGGGAATGGGGGATTGGGGTTGGCACGTGATAGCTCACATGACGTTTCACACGACTCTCCTCCTGCTGTTCTAGATATCACGACAGTCACGAAGTCATCATTCACAGCATCTACAGAAGGATTCTGATTCAAAGAAAAAAAGAAGAGAGAGTCATATACTATTATCGTTTTTGTTGTCTCTACCATATAGCTACATAATCATGTTTTCCTCCTCACTTCTTCTTTCCTCCATCTACGCATACTTGATCGTAAACGCAGGGGACTCGCTCACATCCCAATCCTCCTTCTTCTTCTCGTTGCCGAAAATACGCAGCGCGTGGAACACGGCCTTG